TGATGTTGGAAGTGTCTTCCGACAACTTCCTGAGGATCTTGGCCGCATTGGTGAGCTCCTGCTGGGTGGGTGCGCCGTCCGTCCCTGGCTTAAGATCATGCAATCGGGCAAGACCAGGCGACTCCTTTCCTATGGACTTCGCCGCAGGATCCTTGCTGTCTGCGGCCAGGGTGCTTTCGGTGCTCTCAGAGGTCTTGGGGACACTCTGGGTCTCTAGCTCTGGAGCTGCCGTCTCCTGGGGCGCGGTATATCCGCCACAGGACATGGCGAATTGAATTGAATTTTGTTGCTGCTCAAAGCGGGCCTGATGCTTGATGGACCATGGTTGAGATTTTCTAGGCCGCATTGCTTCAACACTTACTCGTATTATGTTGTAGCATCGCAAACTTCCACACAGGCTGCAACTTTCCTAGGGCCTGACATGGCTACGTACCATCAAAAAGCATACAAATGACACGTGTGTTTTTTGTCTTTCGCTCTCTCTCCTACTGCGATTGTCCCACAACCTGCACACCCGCAAGGAGCATGCCTGGCAACTGACTTCTCCACCAAAACGTCTCCCACATGCCTAGAATCGGATTCTGTTTCGTCACATAGGTTCATCTGGGGCCGCCCGCAAGGTAGCAGTACCTGTGGGCAACGTTGAGATTCTGTGGCGGAAGCCTCCTTCCTGCTACAAAAATGAGTCCGTCTCAGCGCCTACACTGGCCCTAACCCGTACATCCCGCACCATAAACTTGAAGCATGGACAGTCTGCGATGAAGCTCATGGAAAAATGCCGTTTTTCTGAGTCAGCTACTTTCAACTTTGCTCGCAGTGCAGACCTACGAGTACATGATAAGCGAGCCAGGCACCGTACGACGTGACTTACGCAGGACTTCCAGGGTCATGCGAGAAGATAACCAACAATTTCCCACTACTGCCTGGAACTCTGATGGAGGTAGAAGGCAGAATGCCCAAATGGTGCGCTGGAACTCCGCGGAGAACTGGCGGGGGTCCTGCGGGCCAGATTGGGAAGCGTCGCAAGGCAGAGAACTAAATCACAAACCTTGGGACGACAAGCACGATGGCCTGATTTCTGCCTGTTTCCAGCATGGTGAGGCTTGTCCTTTGAGCAACAGTGCTCTTCATAGCATGTTGCAGACAGGAATGATCTTCAAGTTCTGAACGGGCGCTTAGGGGAGCTTGGGTGTTCGGCTTATCTTTTCTAAAAAATCGTCAACGTTTGCCCGGCTGTCGTCAACTGTTCTTTGTCTCTGTAATCCAAATTGGGTTCGGCTGAGATTCAGCTCTTCCTCTTCCTTGCAGAACTGAGACTCATACTCACTTCATCTCCTAGATCTCCTAGTTAATCCTAGTTAGACAACATATGATCATGTCAGCTGATGGAACAGCACGACAAGCCTGGAATCCTGGAACATTCAGACATCAAACAAGGCAGCGCATGAGGGGAAGTGCAGTTTTCAAGCTCCGGGGCCTTTACCCTCGGTTTTGGTGCTACCCCCCGGAGCAACCTGTACTTCAGGAATACAGTCCTGGCCCAATGAATTTCATCCCGAAGAGTTGGACAAAAGATGACAAAAGCCCCAGCAACACCTTAGAAGCATGCTATTCAGCAGTCAGAGACACAACAACATCCGAAGCTTTTTCATACCCGAGCCCTTGACATTTTGAAGCCCCACCAGCCTCCAGCTGGAAGGCCGCAACAACCCGAGCAATCATGGCCAACTCCTGCGCTATCTGCGATGGGTTCCTAGTGGAGTTGCAGGCCGAAGCCTCAAAGCATTTAGATGATCGTCATGACTTTGCCGTGACGCTTCTCGAACGCATGCGGATGCTTGTCCATGAAAAGTTCGAACTGTGGGAACAAATCATCAGCGCTGTACCTTCTCAAGGGGGCCACTGCTGAAAAGTCTGTTAAGTTGGACAGCATTTGAGGATCCAGACTTGTGCTCCTTCGGCGGTGTCGCCAAATCACGTGGGAGATCGGCCAGAAAATCAAAAATGTCCTGCTGCCGACTGTCCAACTGAGCTGCGAATATCAACTATCTACCGTAACTGGTGCGGAGTATGAAAAGTAGCTTGCTGCCCCAAACTGACACGCTCCAGCTGGGCACGCTGTAGCCTCTGCAACAACATGTGTTTTTAGATCTGGGCTGCACCGACTTATCTAGGATTGAACCCTACATACCGCAATGGTCAGCAGAGAACAGCTTTGCAGAAGTGGGGTTGTATAAAAACCCCGTATTGAATCCTTCATAAACTTCAACCTTATCGTTTTTTTTTACTCCTTATCGTTTTGCTGTGTTTGGGGCTTCCTTGCTTTTCCAAGTATTAAACTGCTAGTAATTAGCTGTCAACAAAACAACAATTAGTCAGGCAGTTCTGACTGTCGTAAGAGTAGGAGATGGAGTGGGAATTCATGGACTCT